GTCAACTCAACACCACTTGGACCCAGGCTTTGTTTTTTGAGGCTTGTCTTTGTCAGTGGGGAACACCTGCAAGAAGACTGTCTTTGCCCAGGCCAGGTAGCCTCTCTGTCAGGGCCTCGTCTCTGTTCTTGCCTCTGCATTAGATACGGCTCAGCCTTCTTTCTAAGGTTTCATTCCTTCAGAAAAGAGATCAGGATAAATATTTCCTGACCTTAATAGCATTATGTCTATTAAAATGTCTCAAGTAATAAAATGGAGGATACTCCCTCACAGTTTACCCTCAGCCCTGGCTGCCATTAACATATCACATACATTCCCCAGAGCAGACACATTTAGGAGACTATACCATATGTAATGGTGGCCCAAAAGGACATTCAAGAATATGTTTTGGATCATTTTTTAACGTAAGGTTTCTTAAATGTTTCTCAAGTTTTGTGGTCTGTTTTTGTGATAGAGTTTCACTATGTGGCCTAGGCTGGGCTTCAAGTTGAAACTCATCCTAGGTCCCCAGGTCATGCACCATCATGAATGATGCAGTTTACAATTCACATTGATTGTCTTAAAAAAGTTTAGTCAGGTCTGTCATATCTGGAGACTGAGGCAACAATATTGCAAGTTCAGGTCCCATCTCAGCTACAGAGTGAGCTCAAAGCCAGCTAGAACACTCAGTGTGAACCTATCTCAGAATAAAGAGTAAAAAGGGACTGGGAGACATGGCCTATCAGTATCTTAAACTGTTTCTAAGTGAACACTGCTTTAGTTTTACACTGAGACTATTTGCACTAGTCTAGTTTACATGATTTTGAAGTAATTTTTATCTTTCATACCAAACTTGTAATCTATCTAGTGTCAGTACAGAAATGCAGCTCTTACCTCAAAGATAATAAGAGACAGTTATACTTCTCTCTCTCTCTCTCTCTTTTTTTTTGTTTTGTTTTGGTTTTTTATTTGTTTTTCAGGAGCAGAAACTGAGTGGCCATGGCCTAGAAACACATATTCAGTCTACTTAAATTTATGTTCTATCTAAAAGTTTCATGAACTTTTAAAAACTTTTGTGTTATTTTGTGTGTGTCTCTGTGTGGGCTTCTATGTGCCACAGTACACAGGTGGAGCTCAGAGGACAATCTGTGGTAGTAGTTCTCTTCTTCCACCATGCAGGTTCCCAGGAACAAACTGAGATCATTAAGAAAGTGCCCTTTCCCACTGTGACACCTTACTGACCCTCATGAAGGCCTTTTTTTTTTCTTTTTTTTTCTTTTTTTTGGTCATAAATCAATGCACTTTTAATACATTTGAAATATCAGGTAGGTAGTTAGGTTGCTGAGACATGGGGATATTTCTGTTATAGGGCATAGATGTTTGATGATATTCTTAGCCTTTGAGCTGGTGGAAATTAGTGATTTGCCTGTCAGTACATTTCCAAATGATTTACCGAGTGATCACAAGATGTTAATAGGTCAGTGTTATGTGGACAGTGAATGGCTACTAAGTTGGGGAGTGGACTAAAGTTAACTCAAGATAATTTGGCTCTAAACCTGAAACATTAGTTGGGAAACTCCGTAATCCTTGATGGTCTAAGTAGTCAGTATTGTCAGCATTAATTTCAGGTGAATTTCTGAGTGAGAAATCAAAATTAAACCACCAAACCCTGTTAGCCACCTGCACCAGTACTGTTCCCTGAACAAGTTTTTTTTTTTTTGTTTTTTTTTGAACCCTGTTAGCCACCTGCACCAGTACTGTTCCCTGAACAAGTTTTTTTTGTTTGTTTGTTTTTTTTTTTTTGTTTTTTTTTCCCTACAGACTTAAAATTATCCTCAATTGGTTACATGGTTTCCAGTCCTCATTCACAGGCAGGTGCGCCTGTTCCCTAGACCTTGGGAATAAGATCTTTTTGTCTGTGTTTTCACTGCTAGCTTCCTAATATCTTTTGCTGTATGGATATGTTAGATTTTGTTTGGGTCAACACCAGCATGTTTTCCTGTTCACTGATTGGTTTCCTGTTGTGCCCTAATACTACTTTCCTGACAGCTCTTAATCGCTTCAAGTGCCTGTCAGTAGGTGGAGTCAAAAGGGTCATTAGCATTTATAATGCTGCACTTACTGAATTATTCCAGACTGGTTCTTGAATGTCAGGGATCCCCAGATGAAGACGCCCACCATGCTGTTGAGTCTGTGGGCCCTCTGTGTGCTCTAGTGAAGGCCAGTCAGCTCCTTCCCACCTCCCACGTCAACCAGGGCAGTCCTTCCTTTCTCGTTTTCTCAGGCCTTTGAAAACCATGCTCCTCCTCCTTTTCAGGGTTTTCCATTTTTATTTTATTTTTATGTTGCAAAATAAAGTTGTGTTACCCTAAATGTAAGACAACTGTCTTCTTATTCTCTTTCATAATTAGTTAAAAAGAATAAACTTGGGCAAGTGAGATGGCTAGCAAGGATGTTTGTCACCAAACCTTCTGACCTGACCTCAATCCCATATAGTCCACATGGTGGAAAGAGAGAACCGATTCCCTCCCGGAAGTTCTCTAACCTCTCACTTGTGCTGTGGCCTGTGTATCCTGGCGTACACACAATAAAAATATGTAGAAAGGAGAAACCTAAAGGCAAATACATTGTCATTTGAAGGGACTTGCAAGCCTGTGCTGGGGTGAATGTTGCTCCTTGTGGTCTGCACATAACCCCTTGCATCATTTCCTTCCTAGTGTGTCTGAGGGAAACTAAAAGGGATATTTTACAAGGGTTCTAAGGGTGTGATGACTCCACTTTCTCTCTCTTCCCTAAATATCCTTCAAGAACCCTGGGGTGCACTGGCAGAGGCAGCTCAGGATTGGCCACACTAAGTGATAATTTTGTGATAGATTTGATTTTTTACTAAAAGTAACAGAAAAGAAAATGCAGAATAAAAAACCTCGTTAGAATCTGAAAGAAAATCGAAACTTAGCTTAACAAGAATATGTTGTTTTGTGATTCAACCCAAGCAATTCTGGAAGAGCAAATTAGCATTTGAAGAGTGCCAGAGTGGAGGTTGAGGGTGAGGGCCGTAGAGATAGAGGAGGAGGGTAGAGACAGAACAGTAGAGGGGCTATTATCAAACTTAGGAGTTACAACTTGTGCTCAAGTCAGGTCCCTCCCCTTGTCCTTCATAAACCAATTAAAAGAGCCAGTTAGAAGTTGAAAGCAGAAAAAGGAGATTTATTCAGTGTGGCCACATTGGGCAGAGGGACAGGGTACCCAGGAAACCTCTCAGGTCCATCATTGGGATTCTGAAGTGAGATCAAAGTTCCAACAGAGAGCCAAGAACACACATGTCAAAGCAGTTGTAGTCAAGGTAGGGTCGAGCCTACCACTGTTGACCCATGATTGGGTCTCCCTGTAAGGTGGTCTGACAAGGAGATAAAACTGTTTGAATTCTCTTTCACCCTCTGGCTGACACCCTTTACTTCTCCCACCATGAGATTCCTGGGGAAATTCCCATTTCTTTAGTATCTATTGTTTCTGCACTCCAATAGTCAGGCCTAGAGATACAAGTATCTCTTTAGAATGACTTCTTGTCTTCCAGTTCCCTCAGAGGTGTATGTGGAGGAAGGTAGAACTAGAAATGGATGTAGAGAAATGTAGACGTAGAGCAGAATGCAGGTGGAGGGGGAGGGCGGAGCTGAAGGAAGGTTGATATGGAGGATGGACGTGGAGGACCAGGAGGTAGGAGAAGAGGAGAATGGAGATGGGAGGAGGAGAGGGGGGAGCTGAGTGGGCACTTGGAAGTAATGGAGTGTTGTGTGACAGTGACCATAGGTGGATGTCTGTATCAAATCACTTAATTTTATATTTATGTGTGGTATATACATATGAATTATGTGCTAGTAAAATAATAAAAATATTCAGTATACTATTTTCTGTCTATGACTTGAATGACTTTATCACCATAGGAAGTCAGGCTTCATTATAGTCAATATTTAGAGGATATTAACCTAATATGGTTTGATAGGAATTATGAGTAATTATAGTGAAATAATTCTATTAATTAATGAAGACATTTTAATTTTTTATTTGGTGTTAAACAGGAATATTTCCTAGAAAAGAACTGACCTTCCTATCCACAGACCATCATAAAGCTAGACACACTATTCTTTTTCATAGAAAAGGAAGCTGTGATTTCACTGTGGCCAGGCAGTTCAGTTTGTCATCATTTCATAGTTTACAATGCCATAGCTGTCCCTTGCTTTAACTCTGTGTTTGTGAGTGATGGATTTGGAGATTCTTTGTGTCACATCCCCAGTACTGTCCTTACAGCTCCTGACAGTGTGGTGCAGGGTAGGTGAACCTGCTTGAAGTGGTCAGAGCATGGAGCTTGGGAGCTTGGGGGTCCAGTGATCAAGGCTGCTCTGCTGCTCTTCAGTCCCAGATACGGTTTCTACTTGCTGCTGCCCTGTTGGCAAAGCACTTTCCAGACACTGTAGACATTTGGGAAATATGCTTCTGGCCTTTGTGATCAAGCAAATTTATTAACAACCATGAGGCCCAACAATTTTCAATAAATCATGACTTGCTGATTTATTTCAAAAGATCCATATAGCAGTAAACAATACCATTTACATTTAATTATTTTTATTGAACAAGAAGCAATTTTATTTGTAATGAAACACATGTTATGATTAAGGATGTATTTTAATGACCTTTAAGTAATGTGAACAAATGTTGCCCTTGACCTAATAGCAGAGACTTGCCTGCATTATTGAAAACTTGAGAATGATTTTTAAATTATCATGAAGTGCTTCGAATGACACTCTCATTATTGTGCCATTATTCAGTCATTTGATGTCTAATATAATAAATGAAACACACGCTTGTAAATGTTGATGTGTGTGGGAATGAGGGCTGTTGCTTGTTCTTTATGTCCCGATATCAAAGGGTGGTGTGTGGTATGGAAGCTTCATGTGTTGGCAGTTACTGCGACCACACGTGTTCAGTCCTAAGATTGATGTTCATTTTTATTTTTTGTGTTCCAGGACCTTTTTTCTATCAGTGCCTATGTTTATGCTCAGAAGCCACAACTGGATATTCACAGTTTTGAAGGAACATTTACCAGGGTAAGTTAAATATTTGGTTAGTAGAAAGATATTGAGCATCTGTGTAAGTTAAGGTAGTGGACTTTTGTTTAGAGAGAATAATTCACACCAAAGCTCTGAGGCATGAAGCAAAAACTGTAAAATGTGTCAAGCTCTTAGCGATTCCCAGGTGACAGTTGTGTCTGTGGAGTACAGCCAGTGCTGTCTCCTTGGTTTGTAGCACATGTACTACTGATAAGATCCTGTTCCCACAGGATAGGAGTCAGAAAAACAGTATAGTGTAGCAAATTCAATCTTGGTTTCAGATAATAGTTGATGACCTATGTGCCCAGCACTTCTAGCTTCCTATTTCCTGGGAGGATAAAAACATGTTTACATGCAAGTGTATGCGTTTATACAGTCCTTCACTTCTATGTTCCACATGCTTGCTGTTATGGAGACTTGGGAAAGCTTGAAGCCCTCTAAGAGCTGAATACTTATTTTAACAGCTGATAACTGTTAACCAATTTTTAAATAAGGGACTTTATCATATGACTTTTTTTTTTTGTATTGGAGCATGGTTGGATATGTTCGTTACTGTTATTATATACAAAATTTAGCTAGTGATCATTATCATTTGCAAAACTAATTGCAGGTGATAAATTATTTGACAGTTAATATACATGTTGTAGGGACATGAGCTGAGGACACCTGTGAGGCACTCACAGTCCACAGGGGAGATGGCTGTCACTTTGTAGCTGCTTATTGGCCTGCATGCTGTAGAGTCCAAACCAAGATGTACATGGAAAAATGGGAAGAGCATGTGCACTTGATGCTCTCTGGCCTTTCTGTGCTTTCTTAAAAATATTATGGAAAAAACATCACATTCTTCTAGAACACCTCTTACCATGTAAGAGAAGCTGTTACAAATAGGTGTCTCTCAATAAAAAATTAATCCAACCTTCATCACAGTTCTTAAATACTGTTGGCATTCTTCCTTTTCTACACGTCTTTCTCTTTCTTTTGTCATTTGTATGCCTTGTGGCTTCCTAAGTGTTGGCAATATTTGCTAGACAGATGTTTGCAGACCTCAAGGTTAGAGTCAGAGTAGGCTGTTGAGAGCCTAGGAGGGTGAGTGTGCCATTGCGGGTAGAGATGCTGGAGTGGAAGGAACCCTAGTCAGTCCTCTTGGAGGAAGCTGCACAAGAGCCTTCAGCTTAGGGGAATTACCAGGTCGGTGACTTTACAAGGCTGTTTTAGATTCCCTCTCATCTTAGGATGGTTGTGGGCACTGAACGTTGTGTTCCGACAGACCTCCAGAGTAGGCTGTTGAGAGCCTAGGAGGGTGAGTGTGCCATTGCGGGTAGAGATGCTGGAGTGGAAGGAACCCTAGTCAGTCCTCTTGGAGGAAGCTGCACAAGAGCCTTCAGCTTAGGGGAATTGCCAGGTCGGTGACTTTACAAGGCTGTTTTAGATTCCCTCTCACCTTAGGATGGTTGTGGGCACTGAACGTTATGTTCCGACAGACCTACAACAACACCTGCCAACGATGAGAGTGGGTAGAGTCCACCCTTCTTTACTGCATGGTTAAACTTGGGTTTGATAAGTCCTCACATTTCTCTTTCCCGAAGTGAGGTACAATCCAAACTAGCAGAGTCTGTGACAGGCTGGTTTCCGGGATGGGGGAAGGAAAAAAAAAGGTCACCCTGGAACACTGATGTTAGAGGGGCTTTGCTCTCTGAAGAGAAGGCCCCTTTTTTCACATAGGATCACATGTCCTCTGTATAGATTTGGTGAGGGTAGCTCTTTAATCACCAAGGGGCTTTTGGAAAATATCCGGGATGACTGTTTGGGAAATTTGTGAGGCAGAAGTGGCCTCCTTAAAGGTGTGGTATGTCTGGGAAGCTTAGTGAGGAAGGGAGACAACCCTGGAGCACGCAGGAGAGTCAGCCCCACACCACCACAGAGTGATTGGGGCTCATAGTTGATTGCTAAGAAGGTGCCTTGTGTGAGCTAAGAAGAGATCCCAGTTCCCATCATGAGAATGGAATCCCTCTGTGTGTCTGGTTCAAGGAAACAACACATTGTTTTGAACAGAAAGAACCTATGTACTGCATATAAAAGAAGAAATGGGATGGCAGGGGAAAGCAAGCTTTTCATTTAATAGAAACCCTCTAAAAACAAGCAAAGGAAAATCCAAGGGGAGGAGCACTTAACCAGCTCTTGCTCTGGTCACTGAGGGTGTCAGGGTGGAGCTGCACATCCTACTCTAGTGGCTGCTCTGTTTCTCCTGTGCTGGGAATTATTTGGGGAAAACCCACCAGGGTTCCTCAGACTTTATTGGCAGTTCCATTGCAAGGTACCTGATCAAGTCTAAAAGGATCTCTTATACCAAATATATACAGTGGTGTATAATTCAGGCTATTGGATATATTATTTAAATGGAATCCTATATATTTATATATAACTGCAGTATAGAGTTAGAAGTAAGTAAGAATTAGACTACCACAATAGCTCCAGGCATTTGGAACCTAAATTTAGAGACCTCTTAATAACTTGTGTCCAAATGTAAAAAATCCACACGCCATTTCCAAGGCAAGGGTTGTCAGGCTGTACACAGTAAGATCCCAATATATGGTATATATAAGAAAGCACATTAGAATCACTCACAGCTTAAAAGTAAGAAAGGAAAATATACGCTAGGCTAAGACGAAGTAAAAATGAAGTTGCTTATAGCAGTATCACAAAAAGTTGCTTTCAGAAGATACTGAGGAAAGGGTTAATTTATTGTTAGGACATTCAAGCATAAGCTTGTACCTAATCAACAGCTTTGAAATGCCTGAGGCCAACTCTTAGGACTGGAGGAGAAAGAGTCAGATATTTAATGGTCATTGGAAATTTCTCTACCCTCTTAGTAATTAATTTAACAGGTATACACAGGTATAAAAAATCTGTAGGAACATAATAGCCTTGAAGATTATCTTTGAAGCCAGTTGCACTGACAGCTATGGAAGATATCATTCAATAGTAGAATGTAAAATATATTCATGGGCATGTGGGAAATTTATCAAAATAGGTCAAACAAATCTTAGTATATTTCTTTTAATTCCATTCACTTGTTCTCTAGCCACAGTACAGTTAAATTAGAAAGAAATAACAAATATTTCTTAGAAATTGCTCAATTTTCAGTAATAATAATATGTCCTAAATAGCTTTTAAATTAAAGAATTGATTAAAAGAGAAATTAAAAATTGTTCCAATACTGGAAGAAAACATTTATAATAATGAAGTGTCTTAAGAGTTTTTCACTGTGATCCAAAATCTAGAATTGTTTTGAAAAGCTGATACATTTGGGTAAATGAAAATAAGAGTTTTCATGTCAGAAATAAGCAAAAAGTAGGGTCAAAAGTCAAATGAATTATGAGAAAATATGTGTAGCTTACATTATGGCCATATGGCTAACCTGTGTTGACATTCTTATACATGTTATGCCATGGGTAAAATCTAAGGACATGCCTCAACTAGATGATGGGACAGACTTAGACTTCCTAGGGGAGGCCTTACCCTCTCTGTGGAGCAGATGGGAGGAGGGAAGAGTGGAGGGAGTGCGAGGAAAGGAGGGAGGGGAAACTGGGATTGGAATGTAAAAAATAAATTAATAAAAAAATAGATACAGAAAAAACCTAAGGACATTATTTAAAGTAAACTAAGTTACTCAGAAAGAACAAATATTTATGATTCTACTTATAAGAGGTGAGTAGAGTAATTGGATTCATAGAAAGTGGATTGATAGGTGCTGGGGCTTTAGGAGTAGCACAGAGATGGTGTTTAATAGGGGCAGAATTCAGTTTTATAACATAAGGTGATTAGTGGTGATGACCACACAACACAGTACATCTGTTTAATGCTGTGTAGGTAGGCCTGCTTAAGTCAACAGATTTTATGTTGTGTGTATTTACCTCACTTTAAAAAATGTCTGAAAAACTAAATGCCAAAGGATGCAGTGAAGTCAAGAGTTTCAACTGAAAAAATAAGCACAGAATAGAATGAAATGTAAACATTCCTAAACATTTGCAGCATCTCTGTGTGTGGAGAGTAAGAGGAACACCACTAGTTGTATTTGCAGGAGCATCTCTCCTGAGGAGGCTCAGGAAGTGCTGTGTTCTGAGATTGCTGACTGTGCCTTTCATTGTGAGCTCCATAGAGCATAGAGAGGCCTGCCCCTAGGGGAATGTGGGTGCTCTTCAGCAGCCACCAACAGCTCTCCCTCACTTTACACCTCACTTATCATTCAGAGTCCTTACTTTTTCTGATTGTATCTTTTCCTCCTGGTGTTGTTTGTTTGTTTGTTTGTTTTTGGCAAGAGGGCATTGGGGGGGGAGTGGTCTTCTGATTGTTTATTATGTCCAGAAGGATTATCAAAGTTCCATTATTCCTATAAGGCCATCAGGCAACATTCTCAAAATTCGAAGTCAGAATTTGCCTTGTCTGCACCCAATTTCCCTAGCAGATCACATCTCTTGCTATTCCTGCATTGGACCAGGTTTGCCTCATGGCAGTTGATCTCAATCTGTGTCCACTATCTCATTAGCTTTTCAAGGGCAGAGGCTGGCTTTAGGTGTCACTATGAGGCTTTGACATGGTGCATACCAGCAATGACCTTCTTGTGGGTTTGATGAACTTGCTTTCTGGCTGAGATAAAGTGGTCAGAAGAGAGTGGAGGAGCAGGCTTAGCTCAGTGTTTGCCTTTGTGGTGCCATTTTGGTTTTGGTTTGAATGCAGTATGTCTCTCATGGCTCATGTGTTTGGAGATGTGTCCCCAATTGGTTGTTCTCTTTTGGGAGGTTGTAGTACCTTTGAAACCCGAGGCCTGCTTGTTAGACGTAGAGCCACTGGGCTGTTGGGCCAGAATGTGTGGGGTATAGCCTGCCCAGCTACAGCCCTCGTCTCTCTGTGTCTTTGCTGCCTGTTCCATGTTACCAGGTCCCTCATGCTCTTGCTACCACACCTTCCCCTCTGTCATAGGTTGTTCCCATTCATAC